TTTTGCTTATTTCCATTTATTGGCTGTATTCTAGATAGGTTAGATGGCCAGATAAGTGAATTTTGAATAGGCAAGATATTGGACTCTTGCTTATTTATTTTTTTTTAGTGAAACCTTTACTTAAGCATAATGTACATAGAGAAAAGCACACAAATTATAAGTCTACAGTTCAATGGTTTTTAACAGATTTCAACAACAAAAGAAGTTGTTTTGGAGCACCTGGGTGGCTCAGTCAGTTAAGCATCTGACTCTTGAGTTTGGGTCAGGTCATAATTTCAGGGTCCTGGGATCGAGCTCCATGTCAGGCTCTGCTTCAGGCTCTGTGCTCAGTGGGGAGTCTGCTTGAGATTCTCTCTCCCTCTCCCTCTGCCCCTCCTCCCATACATTCTGGCTCTCTCTCTAAATAAATAAATCTGTTTTTTAAAAAATTGAAATTTTTAACACACTTCTGTTAGGTATACCTAGATAAAGCACATAACATCACCTACTTTGTCCTTTTCAAAGCATGCACTATTTTCCATATGCAAAGTATCCTTTCCCACATGTGTGAGGCTAAGAAAATAGGTGTTTTCTGTATTTGACAAATGTGGAAAATAGAGGCTTGGATAACCGACTTCTCAGATCACAGAGCAGAGAGCAAAGATATTAATCGCAGTGTTCCAGTGCAGGAATCTTCCCATTATTATGCAATGAAATTTACTCCGAAGGAGCAAATACAGTAGTATCAATTCTAGAATCAAAATGTGGACGGGAGAGAGCAGACATTTGGCCAGCACCTAAGAGCCTGATGGGCGTTTGATGCCTGTGTCTGCTCTTATTGACTAGTGTCCCTGAGACACGGGTGTTAAGCATTTTGAATTTTTTCTCTGGGAAGTCAAATGTCAATATGCTCTCTTGAGGCAGGGCAGGGGGATAAATAATCCTGCCATTATACTAGATTTCCAAAAGAAAGTTCAAAGCTTAGATGCCTTAGCATTCTTATTTCCTTATGTCATTTCTTCTATTCTCATCTTTGCATCTTTTATCCCTAATACCAGCACAATAATTTAATTGGAAGGGAAAAAGTGACCAATCATAAGAACTTTTGATAAGCATCCCCAAAACTCCTTGGAATAAGCTACTTCTATCTGTTTCAAATTACCACCTATCCTAGGGAGCCTCAAATGGTTTGAATCGCAACAGTGGTACATCTGAATAAAAAGCCCAATTCCACAAATATGAAAGTTCAAAAGCTTCACAAATTAAAGCTCACTACAGGTCTCCCCGTTAGCTACAGAAATGTATTTTATAGATTTCCCTACTAAAAAATTGCTTAGCACATGAACGGAATACAAAATACAAAGTAGTTTGGAAGGTGCACTTCTTACAATTCTTTTTCATAAAACAGAAGCAGTAGAATTATTTCAGGCATGTGGATATTTTTTTAAATGGAAGTTCCTGCAAGATCCAAACTTCCCAAATGCTGGAGCTGCTGCTACTAACAAAGCAGAATGAGCTCTAGGGGCAAACTCTGTGAATTTTATTCCCTGCTCTACCTCTTAGAGTATGCACGACCAATCAGTGTCCTCAGTCCCTCCTTTGCGAAGAGGCTAGCAGTGGCATCCCACCGCTGGGCTTCCCAAAAAATTCAGTTAACAGCTTTCAGAACTGTATCTGGCCCACAGGAAACTGCTTTTATTGCTAGAAGGGAAGAAGCCTCTTTGTTTGTACGGGGGAACAAAGAAATGCATTGGACAGGTCACAGCAAAAGTCCTATTATCAAACCCTGGTCCAAGGAATTAAAATAATCAGTAATGCAACAAAGAGATTGCAAAGCAGATTAACCTGTCATAAGCAGAGCCAGCACTCCCAGACCCCAGAGATAGAAGGGACTGGCAAGAAATCAGCCATAATGAGAAAGCAGGCTTCCCCCACAGCTTTGCTCCTGGGGATAAAAAAGATAATTCTTTTTTTTTTCTTTTAAGATTTTATTTTTAAGTAGTCTCTACACTCAGCATGGGGCTCAAACCTACAACCCCAAGATCAAGAGTCGCATGCTCTACCAACTGAGCCAGCCAGGCGCCCCAAGACAGATAATTCTTAAACCATGCTCAAAGCACTGTGTTTTCTCATACCCTCTTTTTCTTTTTTTCACCCAATTTACTTAAACTAAACCAAAAGCAAAACAACTCACTCATTTCTTTCATCCTCCCACCCCTACCCCCAGGCCCTGGCAACCATCAATGTGTATCTATGAGCTTGGGTTTTTGCAGGGGTTTTTTTGTTGTTGTTGTTAGATCCCACATTAAGAGAGATTATATAGTATTGGTCTTTCTCTGATTTATTTCACTTAAGTTTAATGCCCTCAAGGTCTATCCATGTTGTCACAAATGGCAAGATTTCATTCATATATATGAATGTTACATACATATGTAACTTCTTCTTTATGTGTATATATGTATGTGTGTATATATTTTACATTCTGTATGTATATATGTGTGTATATATACATGTATTGCACTTTGTATGTGTGTGTGTATATGTGTATATATGTTTTTTCTTCATTCACCTGTTGATGGATATTAGGCTGTCTCTGTATCTTGGGTATTGTAAGTAATGCTACAATGAACATGGGGGTGCAGGTATCTTTTTGGTTTTTTTGAATAAATACCTCGAAGTGGAATTGCTGGGTCATATGGTAGTCCTATCTTTAATTTTTTGAGGAACCTCCATATTGTTCCACAGTGGCTGCACCAGTTTGCATTCCAACAATTCACACAGTGCATAGAGTTCCCTTTTCTCCACATCCTCACCAAAACTGTGACTTCTTGTTGATAATAGCAATCTGATGGGTGTGAGGTGGAATCTCATGGTTTTGATTTGCATTTTCCTGATGATGAGAGATGTTGAGCATCTTGTCATGCACCCATTGGCCATCTGGATGTCTTCTTTAAAAAAAAAAAAAATCTATTCAAGGGCGCCTGGGTGGCTCAGTTGGTTGACTGAGCAACTTTTGATTTAGACTTGGGTCCTGATCTCAGGGATTGAGTCCCGAGTCCTCTGCACTCTGTTTAAGGATTCTCTCTCCCTCTCCCACCACCTCTCCCCCCTTTCGAGTGCACGCTCTCTCTTTCTCCCTCTCTCTTTCAAAAAACAGTCTATTCTGATCTTCTGCCCATTTTTAAATAAAATTTTTTTTTTGCAACTGAGGTGTATAACTTCTGCATCTATTTTAAATATTAGCTCCTTATCAAATATGATTTGCAAACATAGCCTCCCATCCAGCAGGTTGCCTTTTCATTTTATTGATGGTTTCCTTTCCTGTGCAGAAAATTCTTAGTTTGATGTAGTCCCACTTCTTTATTTTTGCTTTTGTAGCTTTTGGTGTCAGATTCAAAAGCTCATCACGCAGACTGTGTCAAGGAGCTTCCTGCCTATGTTTCTTCAAAGAGCCTCTTGAAGACAGAACTTCTCTAGTTTAAGCCAATCGCATGTGAAATAAGGTTATTCAGTTCGTGTTATCAGGCAATAATCAAGTTAATTCTTAAACGACTCCCTATTCCAAGTATTATAGTGAAAAGGAGGGCCCTCCCAGGAGAGAGCTAAAGGAAATCACAGCATTGATCAACTATTTTATTAGAACAAAAATACTACTTTTGACAGAGGTACAAGTGCAAGGTTCCTTCTCTCTGCCCCCACCTCCAAAATGTCAGCTTCTAAATAAAGAACTGGGCACCTAATCACCTCTTGAGGATCTGAACATCCCATGTCCTGTGGAAAATCATCCCCGGTCTCCCACCAAAGATAAACCAATTTCAACTCATTGCTTGGAGGATAAAGCAAGTTTAACTCGAACACAAAATCCCCTCTAGTAGTAGTATATTATATGTAAATATACTCTTTACTGCAACATTTCTATTTTTAAAATGGAAACCTATTTAGCTTGAAGGAATAACAATCCTGTGTGGGAGCCCTGGGAGTCTTTTTAAGCACTCTAAAAACTGAAAACTTTCCTGACAACAAAACTAAAGGAAAGCTCATTTCACAGCCTTATTTATTTTCTCCTATTTTAACAAAGCAAGGGAAGACAAATTATATGTCAAGCCAAGCCATTGATAAATTCATTAATCTGATTTGGAAGGACTTTTTTTCAGATTTTATTTATTTATTCATGAGAGAGAGAGAGAGAGAGAGAGAGAGAGAGAGAGAGAGAGGGAGAGAGAGGCAGAGACACAGGCAGAAGGAGAAGCAGGCTCCCTGCAGGGGGCCCGACGTGGGACTCGATCCCGGGACCTGAGCCCAAGGCAGATGCTCAACCACTGAGCCCCCCAGGCGCCCCAATCTGGAAGGCCGCCTTGAGGAACTTTCTGCCACCTGTATCTGATGTCTCTCAATCCAGTAAACCTCAGAAGCTGATCACTGTACAGTGGGGTTTTTCCCCTAAAATGAGAAACTGACTCTGGCAAAGTGTTCGGTCCCTTAAGGGACTTGAGACCCCCTGTTTCATTGTGGGGGGCTGGGGGTGGGGGAGGAAGAAGAGAAAGGGGGGAAACCCTCCAAGGACAGCAAGTTAAAGGAAAAGCAAACTGACGGGCTTCTGTCTCTCTCTCGGGGAAAAAGCGCTCAAAGTCCTCAGGTTTTTTTTTTTTTTTTTTTTTTTTAAATATTTTCTTTTTTTTTTTTAATTTTTATTTATTTATGATAGTCACAGAGAGAGAGAGAGGCAGAGACACAGGCAGAGGGAGAAGCAGGCTCCATGCACCGGGAGCCCGATGTGGGATTCGATCCCGGGTCTCCAGGATCGCGCCCTGGGCCAAAGGCAAGCGCCAAACCGCTGCGCCACCGAGGGATCCCCGTCCTCAGGTTTTTTAAATAAAGAATTCACTTTAGCAAAAGCTAACTGACAGCGGGGGAGGGGGCCGCGTTCTGCCGGGGACCGGGGGGGGGGGGTGGGGGGGGCGAGGGGGGGCGGCCGGCCGTCGGGTGACCGTGGGGGGCTGCCCGGCCCCGGGAGCCCCTACCTGCGTTCCTCAGCTTCTTGTTCCGATGCACGGACAGGATGACCAGGAGGCTGCCCAGGACGTCCACCACGATGGTGAAGATGAGGACCACGGCGAGCGTGCAGGCCACCCACGGGGGGCGCGGCCCCGCGGCGCCCTCCCCGCCGCCCGCCGCCCGCTGAGAGGCGTTGAGCAGCGCGCTGCCGTTGCCCTTGGGGGGCCCGCCCGGCGCGCCCCACGCCCCGGCCATCGCGCCCTCGGAGCGCAGCGCCGCGCCCCCCTCCTCCGCCCCGGCTCAGGGCTCCGCGGGGCCTGCCCGCGCCCCCTCGCCCGCCCGCTGGCGAGCGCTCCTCCGGCGCCGCCCCGGCGGGGACCCCGCACCTGCAACCCCGGCCCGCCCGCGGACACCTGGCGGGGACCCCGCACCTGTAGCCCCGGCGGGACCCCTGCACCTGCAGCCTCGGCCCGCCCACGGACACCTGGCGGGGACCCCGCACCTGCAGCCCCGGCCCGCCCGCGGACACCTGGCGGGGACCCCGCACCTGCAGCCCCGGCCCGCCCGCGGACACCTGGCGGGGACCCCGCACCTGCAGCCCCGGCCCGCCCGCGGACACCTGGCGGGGACCCCGCACCTGCAACCCCGGCCCGCCCGCGGACACCTGGCGGGGACCCTGCACCTGCAGCCCCGGCGGGGACCCCGCACCTGTAGCCCCGGCCCGCCCGCGGACACCTGGCGGGGACCCCGCACCTGCAGCCCCCGCCCGCCCGCGGACAGGTGCCGCCGCCGTGCCCGCAGCCCGTGCCCACAGCGCCCCCGTGCGGGCAGCCCCAGGCGGAAGAAGCCAAGGCACTGTGGCCGGCCGGTGTGGCACCATCCGCACCATCGGGGGACAGAAGCGGTGCTCCCCAGCTCCCCCCGCGCCCGCCCCCACCCCACGGACTGCAGGGGCCAGCCAGGATTTCCATGATCTTCCCCCCAAGGGCTCCTTTTATCTTGATATTTCTTGAACGCTGCCCTTCACATCCGTGTATGTCAACTACCTTTCAATTAAAAATAGAAGTTATCCAATTTATAAATTCCAAGTTCCTGGGGCACCCGGGTGGCTCACTGGTTGAGCGTCTGCCTGTGGCCCTGGTCGTGATCCCGGCGTCCTGGGATCCAGTCCCACATCGGACCCCGCTTCTCCCTCTGCCTGCGTCTCTCATGAATGACTTAAATAAAATCTTTTTACAAGAATTCCAAGTTCTTGTCCCCAACCCCTGTGCATGCCTCTGGCTGCTGCCCCAGGTAGTCAGAAGAAGAATGAGGACGCTTGAAATGTCAGCTTGAGATGACGGGAGATTGCATCTGGAAGGCCGATCCAAAGCAACTAGATAAACTTTTCATCTCAATTTCAAATGTCAGTGGATCGACTAGTTCTATAGGAGCCTCAGTCTTGCTTCAACAACCCACAGAGGCAGATATTCTCTGGCAGATTTCCTTCCGGAGTAGGACAGATCCTAGACACCTCTAGGCACCACACCCGCTCTCTCTCCCTGTGGACCCCCAAGTTTATGTTTGGCGCATACTCACCCTGTAACCTTTAAAAACATCTTCACTTGGCCATTGAAGGTGTCCAGGAATTCTGCGACCTCATTATGCAACTACTGGCCACCAGGTCTTGGAAATGATTCCAAAAAAATTTGAAGTGTGACAAGACAACAGCAGCCTGGAACTTTTCAATAAAGCCGCCAAAGACTGGTACTTATTAACGGAAATAAATAAATCCACGCCTATCCCAGGGTACCCCAGCTTCCATTTTCTCTTTGAGATCAATTCCCTTGCGTTCATTACTGTACTTGTTCATGAAGTGTCTTACATACTTGGCTCTATGCTCATAGTCCTTCCCCTCCAAATGGCAGCGTGGGCTGTGCATGCGTAAGGGAGATGCAGAAGTGAAATGCAGAGTTCACAAAAGAGGAGAGCGTTAAGGAAGGAATTTAGAAATTAATAGGTACATTAAATGAGTTGAATAAGAGGATTTTTTAAATTACTAAATATTATTTCTTAGAAAAGTTTTAGGCTTACAGCAAAACTGAAAGTACAGAGATTTCCCATATATCCCCATCCCCACACATGCACAGTCGTGCCCACTAACTACATCCCACACTGCGGGGGTACATTTATGATCATCTGTGAACCCACCCTGATTCACCACTGCTGTCCCAAGTCATAGTTTAGAGTAGGGCTCATTCTTGGTGTTCTACATTCTGCGTGTTTGGTCAGTTGTCTAATGATGACATGTCTCCACCATTATACTATGTTCACTGCCTAAGAATCCTCTGTGCTCTGCCTGTTTCTCCCTCTCTCTCCTATCCCTCAGAACCACTGACCTTTTAAGCATCTCCATAGTTTTTGGCCTTTCCTGAACATCCTATAGTAGGTATCACACTATATGTGGCCTTGTCAGATTGGCTTCTTTCACTTAGTAGCCTATCTTTGAGTTTCCTTAATGCCTTTTCATGGCTTAATAGCTCATTCTTTTTAATGTTGAGCAATATTCCATTGTCTGGATGGACCCCAGTGTACTTATCCATTCACCTGAAGAAGGGCATCTTTGTGGCTTCCAAGTTTTGGCAATGATGAAGAAAGCTGCAATAAACATCCTTGGGCAGGTTTTTGTATGGATATAAGTTTTTAGCTCCTTTGAGTAAATACCAAGGAGCACCATTGCTGGAGCATATGTTAGGAGTGTGTTTAGAGCCTGTCTCCCAAAGTGGCTGTACTATTTTGCATTCCCCCCAGTGATGAATCCACATCCCCATCAGCATTTGATGTTATCAGTGTTCCAGATTTGAACCATCCTAACAGGTGTGTAGTGGTATCTCGTTGTTTTAATTTGCAGTTTTCCTAAGGATATATGATGTTGAAAATCTTTCCATGTGCTGACTTCTTATCTGTGTGTCTTCTTCGGTGAAGTGTCTATTCAGGTTTTTGGCCCATTTTTAAAATCACATTATTTGTTTTCTCACTGTTTAGTGTTAAGGTTTCTTTATGTATTTTAGACAGCAGCCCTTTATCAGATGTGTCTTTTGTAAATATTTTCTTCCGGTTTGTGGCTTATCTTCTCATTCTCTTCATGTAGTTGTTCACGGAGCAGAGGTTTTTAATTTTAATAAAGTGTAGCTTATCAATTATTGCCTTCATGGATTAAGTCTTTGGTATTGTATCCAAAATTCCTCTCCACACCCGAGGTCATTTAAGTGTCGTCCCATGTTATCTTCTAGAAGTTGTAGAGTTTTACATTTTACATTCAGGTCTATGATCCATTTGAGTTAATTTTGCAAAAGGCACAAAGGCAGTGTATTTGCACGTAGGTGTCCAGTTGTTTCAGCACCATTTGTTGAAAAGTCTATCTTTGTTTCACTGTATCACCTTTTGGTCCTTTTCAGATATCAGTTGACTGTATTGGTGGGTCTGTTTCTGGATCTCTGTTCTAACCCATCAGTGTATTTGTCTATTCTTTCACAAATACCACACTCTCTTGATTACTGTAGCTCTGTGGTAAGTCTTGAAGTCAGGTAGTGCCATTCCTCTGACTTTGTTCGTCTCCATTAATACTCAGCTGGTTATTCTATCTTTTGCCTCTCCACATAAATGTTAGAATCCGTGTGTCTACGGACACAAAAGAATTTGCTGGGATTTTAATTCACATTGCGTTGAATCTATAGATACAGGTGGGAAACTGACATCCTGACAATATTGAATTTTCTGATGTATGAACACAGGTTATGTCTGCATTTTTTAAAGTTCTCCTTGCATATCTTTCATCAGAATTTTGTAATTTTTCTCATCTAGATATATATTTTTTAGATGTATACCTAAGTATTTCATTTTTAGGGGCACTAATGTGGAAATGGTAATATATTTTTTATTTCAAATTTTGCTTCTTCATTACTGGTATATAGAAAAGCAATCAACATTTGTATGTTCGCCTGGTACTGTGCAAGCTTGTTATAACTGCTTATTAGTTCCAGGCATGTTTTCGTGTGTCTTCTTTGGGGTTTTCTACATAGACAATCAAGTCATCTGTGAAAAAGACAGTTTTATGTCTTCCTGCCCAATCCGTATACCTCTTATTTCCTTTTCTTGTCTTACTGAATTAGCTATCGTTTCCAGTATGATGTTGAAAAGTAGGGGTAAGAGGTCACATCTTTGCTTTGTTCCTGATCATAGTGGAAAAACTTCTGGCTTCTTACTATTAAAGAATGATGTTAGTTGTAGCTTTTTTTTGTAAATGTCCTTTGTCAGGTAGAGAAAGTTCCCTCTATTCACAGTTTACTAAGAGTTTTTATCATTAATGAGTATTGGATTTTGTCAAATTCTTTTTCTGCATCGATTTCTATGATCATGTGATTTTTCCTTTTTAGCTTATTGTTGTGGCAGATTACGTTAACTGATTTTCAAACGTTGAACCAGGCTGATCTACATGGGATTTATCCCACATACATGCTATAAATTTCTCTCTAAGCACTCCTTTCAATATATTCCACAAATTTTGATATTTTCATTTAAAATTATTTTTTAATTGCTCTAAAGTTTTCTTCTTTGACCAATGTGTTATTTAAAAATATACTGTTTAACCTCCAAGAATTTGGGGATTTTCTGTCTATCTTCCTGGTATTAATGTCTGGTTTAATTTCAGTGTGGTCTGAGAGCAGATAATGTATGGTTCCTAGTCTTTTAAATTTGTTAAGGTGTGTTTTATAACCCAGAATGTGATCTAACTTGGTCAATATTCCCCTTGAACTTGAGAAAAATGTGGAATGAGCTCTTGTTGGATTTTGTAGTCTGCGGATGTCAACTATGGCTAGTTGATTGATTGGGTTCTTGAGTTCAAGAATGTCCTTACTGATTCTTTGCATTCTGGATCTGTCCATTTCTGATAGAAAAATGTTGAAGTCTCCAACCATAATAGTAGATTCATCTATTTCTCCAGTTTTATCAGTTTGTGCCTAATGTATTTTGAGGCTCTGTTGTTAGGTTGCATACATGTGAAGGATTGCTATTTCTTCTTTATAATTATATAATGCCCCTCATCCCTCAAAAGTCTGGAGTCAGCTCTGCTTAAAATTACTATAGCTGTTCCTGTTTCCTTTTGATTAGTGTTAGCGTAATATATCTTTCTTCAGCCCCATAATTTTGATCTACATATGTCCTTATATTTAATGTGGGCTTTTTTTGATAGACAACATATTGTTGGGTCTTGT